ACGTGACAACGAGGGAAAAAAAGCCCCAATTCCTTTCCAGGAAAAGGAATTCCAAGGATTTTGGGGATTTGGGGGAATTTGGGGGATTTGGGGGATCCCAAACCCACCTGAGCTGTAGCTGTCGGTGGAGGATTGAGAGATGGAGCGCGACAGCGAGCGGCGGCCGATCTTGGTGGGGCGTTTGTTGAATTCCTGCTTTTGGTCGGCAAATTGGATCTGGGAAAAAAAAATCGGGATTTGATCAGGAAAGTGCTCAAAATCCCAGAAATTCACCCCAAAACACTGAGCAGGCAGTGGTACTGTCTCGGTTATGAGAGAAAATAATTCCAGATATTTCATGGGATGACTCAGGATTCAGATTCTCTATTTCCATGGAATTAGAAACCCTGGAATTCTTTAGTGGATAAATCCAAGATTCCTCAAAATTTCAGGATTTCTCTATTTCCACATTTCTGTAACCCTGGAATTCTTTAGTGGATAAATCCAAACTTCTCAGAATTTCAGGATTTCTCTATTTCCACATCTCTCTAACCCTGGAATTCTTTAGTGGATCACTCCAGACTCCTCAGAATTTCAGGATTTCTCTATTTCCATGTCCCTGTAACCCTGGAATTCTTTAGTGGATAACTCCAGACTCCTCAGAATTTCAGGATTTCTCTATTTCCATGTCTCTGTACCCCTGTGATTCTTCAGTGTTTAACTCCAGACTCCACAGACAGTGCTGAGCTCCTGCTCTCCATTTTTAACCATTTAAACCATTTTTAACAATTTTTAATCATTTTAAACCATTTTTTAAAGTTTTGTCAGCTCTGATTGATGCCTCAGAATTTCAGGATTTCTCTGTTTTCACATCTCTATGACGTTGAAATCCCATCCCATTCCAACCACAGACACTTTCCCCTACCCCAAGATCATCCAAACCCCACAAAACCCCCAAAAACACCGAAATCCCATCCCATTCCAACCACAGACACTTTCCCCTATCCCAGGATCATCCAAACCCCACCAAACCCAAAAACCACTGAAATTCCAACCCATTCCAATCACGGACACTTTCCCCTGTCCCAGGATCATCCAAACCCCACAAAATCCCAAAATCCATTTAAATTCCATCCCATTTAAATCCCATTCCAGCCAGGGACACCTTCCCCTGTCTCACGGTGCTCCAAATCCTGACAAACCCCAAAAACCACTGAAATCCCATCCCATTCCAACCACAGACACTTTCCCCTGTCTCAGGATCATCCAAACCCCACCAAACCCCAAAATCCATATTCCATTTTCCATTTAAATCCCATTCCAATTGGGGACACTTTCCTCTGTCCCAGAGTGCTCCAAACCCCACAAAATCCCAAAATCCATTTAAATCCCATCCCATTCCAGCCAGGGACACTTTCCCCTGTCCCAGGATCATCCAAACCCCACAAAACCCCAAAAGCCACGTTCCAGCCCCGCTGGGAATATGGGAACGCTCAAAATTGGGATGAAAAGAAAGATTTGGCTCCAGGCAGTGACCCTGCCTGGGCTGCAGCTCCGAGGAGTTTGGGAAACCCCAGAGAGCAGAAATTCTTGGGATTTAGGAGCCAAATCCTCCAGCTCTGAGGAGTTTGGGAGATCCCAGAGAGCAGAAATTTCTTGGATTTAGGAGCCAAATTAATCCTGCAGCATTGAAGAGTTTGTGAAACCCAAGAGAGCAGAAATTCCTGGGATTTAGAAGCCAAATCCATTTTTAGGAGCCCAATCCATCCTGCAGCTTTGAGGAGTTTGAAACCTCAAAAACTAGAAATTCCCGGGATTTAGGAGCCCAATCCAATCCTACAGCATTGAGGAGTTTGTGAAGAGAGCAGAAATTCCTGGGATTTAGGAGATGGATCCTGTAGCCCTGAGGAGTTTGTGAAACCTCAGAGCTGCAGAAATTCCTGGGATTCAGGACCCAATCCTGCAGCTCCGAGGAATTTGTGAAACCTCAGAGAGAGAAATTCCTGGGATTTAGGAGCCCAATCCATCCTGCAGCATTGATGAGTTTGTGAAGAGAGCAGAAATTCCTGGGATTTAGGAGCCCAATCCATTATTTTAGGAGCCCAATCCATTATTTTAGGAGCCCAATCCATCCTGCAGCTCCGAGGAGTTTGTGAAACCCCCAAGAGCAGAAATTCCTGGGATTTAGGAGCCAAATCCATTTTTAGGAGCCCAATCCATCCTGCAGCTCCAAAGAATTTGTGAAACCCCAGAGCAGAAATTCCTGGGATTTAGGAGCCCAGTCCTGCAGCTCCGAGGAGTTTGTGAAACCTGGGAGCTGCAGAAATTCCTTGAATTTAGGAGCCGAATCCATCTTGCAGCATTGAGGAGTTTGGGAAACCCGAGAGAACAGAAATTCCTGGGATTTAGGAGCCAAATCCTGTAGTTCCAAGGAATTTGTGAAACCCCAGAGAGCAGAAATTCCTCGGATTTAAGAGCACAATCAATTTTTAGGAGTCCAATCCTGCAGCTCTGAGGAGTTTGTGAAGAGAGCAAAATTCCTTGGATTTAGCAGCCCAATCCATCCTGCAACATGGAGGAGTTTGGGAAACCTCGGAGCTGCAGAAATTCCTTGAATTTAGGAGCCAAATCCATTCCTCCAGCTCTGAGGAGTTTGGGAAAGCTTGGAGAGCAGAAATTCCTGGGATTTAGGAGCCCACTTAATCCTGCAGTTCCAAGGAGTTTGTGAAACCTCAGAGAGCAGAAATTCCTCGGATTTAGGAGCCCAATCCTGCAGCATTGAGGAGTTTGGGAAAGCTGGGAGAGCAGAAATTCCTGGGATTTAGGAGCCAAATCCTCCAGCTCTGAGGAGTTTGGGAAATCTCAGAGAGCAGAAATTTCTTGGATTTAGGAGCCCAATTAATCCTGCAGCTCCAAGGAGTTTGTGAAACCTCGGAGAGCAGAAATTCCTCCGATTTAGGAGCTCAATCCATCCTGCAGCTCTGAGGAGTTTGGGAAACCTCAGAAAGCTGAAATTCCTCAGATTTAGAAGCCAAATCCATTTTTAGGAGCCCAATCCATCCTGCAGCTCCGAGGAATTTGTGAAACCTCGGAGACCAGAAATTCCTGGGATTTAGGAGCCCAATCCCTTTTTTAGGAGCCCAATCCATCCTGCAGCATTGACGAGTTTGTGAAGAGAGCAGAAATTCCTGGGATTCAGGAGCCCAATCCATCCTGCATCTTTCAGGAGTTTGTGAAACCCCAGATCAGAAATTCCCGGGATTTAGGAGCCCAATCCATTTTTTAGGAGCCCAATCCATCCTGCAGCTCCGAGGAGTTTGGGAAACCCCAGAGAGCAGAAATTCCTGGGATTTAGGAGCCCAATCCATTTTTTTAGGTGCCCAATCCATCCTGCAGCTCCACTAATTCCAACTCCCAGCAGAAACCAAGGATTCCAGCCGGGGCACCAGGGGTTAATGAGTGCTAATTACAGGAGTGTGCTCGTTACATCTCTAATGAGCTCGACGTGACCTCGGGTTTCCATCACACAGAGGCTGCTTCTCTCCCCACGCAGAAAAAAGGTTTTGTTATCCGAGGTTTGCCCAGAAAACTTCCCTGCATCAACGCTATTAACTCCTCCATCACTGTGCCCCAAAAAACAACCCCAAAAAATGTGTTTGGTTTGAATTCATCACTCCAAAACAAGATTTTCCCGGAAAACTTCCCCACACTGACCCCACTGACTGCTTCATTGCTGAATTCTGAGAAACAACCCCAAAAAACGGAATTTTGGCTCAACATTTCATCATTCCAAACCAAGGTTTTCCCAGAAAACTTCCCCACACCAATCCCACCAACTCTTGCATTGCCGTGCCCCAAAGAACAACCCCAAAAAATGTGTTTGGTTCGAATTCATCACCCCAAAACAAGATTTTTCCGGAAAACTTCCCCGTACTGACCCCACTGACTCCTTCATCACAGTGCTCTGAGGAACAACCCCAAAAAATGGAATTTTGGCTCAACATTTCATCATTCCAAACCGAGGTTTTCCCAAAAAACTTCCCCTGCACCAACCCCATTAACTCCTCCATCACTGTGCCCCAAGGAACAACCCCAGAAAAATGTATTTGGTTTGAATTCATCCCTCAAAGGCTTTCCCAGAAAACTTCCCCGTGCCGACCCCACAGACTCCTCTATTGCTGTGCTCTGAGGAACAGCCCCAAAAAATTGGAATTTTGGCGCAACATTTCATCTGTCCAAAACAAGGTTTTCTCACAAAACTTCCCCACACCAATCCCACCAACTCCTCCATCACTGAGTTCTGAAAAACAACCCCACAGAAATGTGTTTGGTTTGAATTCATCACTCCAAAACAAGATTTCCCCGGAAAACTTCTCCTGCACCAACCCCATTAACTCCTCCATCGCTGTGTTCCAAGGAATAACCCCAAAAAATGTGTTTGGTTTGAATTCATCTCTCAAAGGTTTTCCCAAAAAACTTCCCCACACAAACCCCACTGACTCCTTCATTGCTGTGCTCTGAGG